TTTTTTTTTTGCCAAATAAGAATAAAACTGCACTTCAGTAAAGTAGTAGTGGCACTAGTGTGGGGACAGTGTTGTTTTATCCATCTAATGTGTGTGACAAATATGAGTGTAGCAATTATCAGTCCCACCTTAACGATGAGAAGCACAGCAGAGGAGGAGTCAAAGGCACCATTGTAGAAGGTGATGATGGTGGAGCGATGAGCAGGGAACAGGTTGCCCACCTTTCCGTCACACAGATACACGGATCATCAGGACAAAATATGTTTGAAAGTTTAGAAGTGGCTCAAGTGTATTTCTGTTTAGGAACAGAAACTTTCTACAGGTGTAGTTACCTGCATGTTAGTTATGAGCAGTAGGACTCCACCCACAGCAAGGAGAGACAGGGCGGGGTAAAGCAGATTTGAAAATTCTACAAGACACAGAAATACAAACATTAGGAATGTGATGTTGCACAATATTAAAGGTAGTTAGAGTTAAAACTCCAGAGTCACGGTGTAGAGAGCAGCAGAGCAGCAGAAGTGCTGACGAGCAGTTAAAATGCTGAATAATCATGTTTGAAAACAAACTTTTTGCTTTCCCCAGCGGCAGTAAAGGGTTACAGTCAGGGATGGATTCAGTGACCCTGAACCTTTAAACTTTCTATAGGTCAGGCTGATGGGGCGTTTTGTTGTTCGTGGTCTCTCTGTGCCCTCATTCTCTCTCTCTTCTCTTCTCCCCCTATTCCACAAACATCGAGGCTGAGCCTGTTTCTGCCGGAGGACTTTTCCCATTAAAAGGGAACTCTTGCCTGTAAACAGGCGACAGCCTGATTCGTTAAGCTTTCTCTCTAATATTGTAGAGTATTCACATTGCGCCTTAAGATAACTGCTGTTGTGATACGATATAAATGAGACTGAAATCAAATGCCAATGGCTATACTGGAAAATAAAGAACACGCGTTAAATATGTTAATGACCAGAATTATGCACAGGTGTGCATAATTCTCACAGTGATTGTGATTATTTTACTGGGATTCATCATATACGAGGGGTGTTACAGTGACTACGTCATCAGGCATGTAGTGAAAACAGCTTTTACCTGTTTTCTGTCATTCGTGTTTGGTATGAACCGAGCAGTAGCTGAGGAGATGAAACCTGCTTTGTGCTTAAGATGAGAAAGCCAACACAGCTGCTCTTTTTTTAAAAAACAAAGGTGATTCTTTCACAGGTTTGTCCACAAGAATATGAAATGTGAGGCCAACACTGGCTAGCACATGCAAGTTATACTACTAACTGCTAATTAGCTAAAATGGTGTTGTCACAATAGCTAGGGTGTTCAATTTCTACACTTCAGCACACAGAATAAGCTTTCAGGTATTCAAATAAACCCAACACAATGTGACCAGAACACGAAATTCCCACAACGAAGGGATTATGGAAAAGGTGGAAATTATGAGACAGAGGTGAAAGGTGAATCTAATAAAAACAAACAAAAAAAAGACTCATAAATATGTGTTTTCTAATAATTGTAACCTGTGCACCTACCTGGGCTAGAGAGGGCCACCAGCAATGTACCGCCACTAAAAAGGGCTCTGGAGAGGGAAAAGTATCATCAGGACACATAAAAGTTTCTGTTTTTACCATCAGATATCAGCTACGAGGAGCAGAGTTCCTATGAGGGAGCATTGAGACATTGGTTGGTGGCCTGAGGGTGATTTTGGCCTGCAGCGAAGTCGCCTTGAGCGTTAACAGCTGGCAAGGTTTTCTGAATCCACTCAAACTGTCCATTCTCCCCTCAGATACCACATAAGCTCATGCATGTAGCCTCTCTCGACAGGACGATGAAACGTGGAAGAGAGTGAAAAACTTAACAGAAAAGTCTAGATGCAGCTTAATGCTGAAAAACAAGTACCAATCAGGGGGCAGCATAGTTAAAAACAGCAGCATAAATACACAAAACAACTGAGTTTTGTGTAAGTAGTTTTTGTATATATAGCAAAAGTTGACCTTGAAAAGGCTTGTTGGTCTGTACCAAATCTTATATTTTGTAATCTGAATAAATTGCTCTTCAAATGAACACTGACTAAAGAAATAATCTGGCACAATTTCCATTAACATTAGAACAATATAATCTGGTACTGAGAATTAAGTAGTGACTCAACACTCATTAATTTCTAAATTGTGTAATAATTCTTGTTGCGCATGTTTTACAAAGTTACAGACTTTCTCTGCGTCTCTCCACATGTTTGAGTATAAATCATCTGACAGGAAGTAAAAGATGAATTTGACTGAATAACTGCATATTTTACCAAATTTTCTATAAATGATCTCATTAAAATTAATTACTGAGATTCTCTAACCTAAATCTCACAATATAATCTCATACTCTCCTGATCACTGCAGTAAATAAGAAACTTAAGTGATAACGTGTTACACCAAAGCTCTAAAGCAAATCTGCATTGCTAAGTGTTCCAGCAATGATTAACATAACAGGTTTGGAATAACGAATGTTTTCTCATGGGAGATGGATTATTTGAATATTGTGAGGTAGATGATTTCATAGTACGCGCCTTGGGGCAGCTATAGTATGTGATTGTGTGATTTCGTGGTATATAAACATAACTGAGTTTTTTTGGACATTTTTTTGTAACCTGTGCAGAGAAAAAGTTCATTTACTAAAAAAGAAAATAAATAAAGTGTTACCTATTGACCCGGACTCTGAACCAGATTAAACCATTAACATTACCAAGTATTAGTACTGATACTAGAAACTGTCAAATATATTTTGGGGTTGAATGAGGTGGGTTCTGTTTCAGTCTAATCTCTGTGCCTTGTTTTACCATGTACTAATCTTAACTAATCTCAGATTTTTTGTGTTTCTTTGCTGAAACTAATTGGCAGACAAGGTTTTTTTTTATTCTGCTGGAGGTCTGACCTACAAAGGTATCATAGTTTACTTATAAAATATTGTTGATTAACAACATTTTGGGCAAACAGCAAGAAATAGTTAACAACTGTGTGTTTGGGTCTGCAGCCCAGACATATTTCAGCACTGACTTACATTGCCAGCAGTCTGGTCAGCAGTGTGCCACAGTGATCAAATATGTAGCCATTTAATAGAGTCAGGAAGTTGTTGAGGAAGGAGGCCACAGTAAAAACCAGCGAGAACTGCTCATCCTGACCACTACAGTCTGGAAGAAAAACCAACAGAAACACACACAAATATATCTGAAACCTGCTTCTGTGGTGTCCTGGATGAGTGTCCTGTCCAATCTAAACTCCAGAGTTGCTCACCTTTACTATCCGTTGTGCTGTTAGTGTTGACACACAGCCAACCAAAGTATTCCTCTTTCTTCAGCACAAACACCAGGGAGGCATGGCCAAACACCAGGCCGGCAAATAACAGACACTCCAGCAACCCCGTGATCAGGGTCAGCCAGTAGCGCAGGCTGTAACCAACTACAGTTCCCTGCATTTTTCACTTCGTCTTTCCAGCTCACACAAAGGTCAAACAGAGCTTCTAGACAGATCTCTGTTCCTAAACCATGGAATAAAAAAATAACAGGTTTACTTTTTCAGTTTTACATGCCTGAAATACAGCAAAAACTGTTCAAGAAGTGATCACGAACGCAACATCTGTGTGAGCATGGGCAGTATATGAACTGAAGGCTAAAGATGATAAAAAATAAAGTTAACATTTTCTCATAGAAATACTGAATGTTCATCAAAATTCATTGTGCAATGTGAAATGTTGCAATGTACACAATCACGGCAGCACTGGCTCTCTCATTTGCTTTATTTTCCCTAAAGGCCTTCCACACATTCATCTTAGTTTCACTTCATATTTGTTACTTGGTGCTCCATGCCCCACCTGCCGCAGCAGGTTCAGAACCACCACATGAGAGGGAACCACAGTGTGGCATCTATACTAACTTGAACCCCGTAGGTTAAGATTTTACATACAAACAAATAGTAGCTGCACACAAAAAATTTCATCTTAACTCATTAGAATAGAATAGAATAGAATAGAATAGAATAGAATAGAATAATCCTTTAATTGTCCCACAAGGGGAAATTTGGTTGTAACAGCAGCCAAAAAGACACATATACAAACAAACAGTACACAGGACACAGAACAGAAACATACACAATTTTTCTTACATATTTACTAATTAATAACCAGATTAGCAATAACTCCACTTTTCCTTAAAACAGTTCCATACTTTTGTTAAATAAAACTGACTACAATAACACTGTGATGAACACACTTTTACCTTAATGTTTCCCAGTGAGTTTATTTGCATGGTGTATATGGTCCATTTATATTCTCCTCAAGTTAAACTCATTCTGCAAAGCGCAGAGACTACAGACAGGGCAACAGTTATCACCAAGGGGTGGTGGCTGTAATCCAGATTAATCCCGATTAATCCCGATAATCTACGTAATGACATATGGCACTACACAGACAAGAACGCTCCAAATGTGACCATTAAAACACGATTATTCAAGAAATTTATCACAGTGTGAGGTTTAATAGCATAAATACTTGTATAAAACACAAATATACGTCCAGTTTTCTATGCAGAGGCAAATAATTAACTCATTTTAGTAGAACTCCAACAAAACATGCTTCTAAGCGCTAACCCTCATGAAAAAGGTAAGAAACAATGCTTACCCCATAACCTCTGGGTAATCCACACATGAGACTCTGTGGGGCCATGATGCATCTTGCACCCGATAAGCAGCGTTTAATGGGCAGAGAGCTTTACTCTCTCTGTTTATAGATGCAGCTTTAATCCCAGACAGACGGACACAGGGCGGGAAACCACGTTTACACACTGATTCCAGTATCAGTCTAATTATGAGTTCTAAACTAATCTAACGGACATGCAGTCCAGCCTGTTGACAGGTTTTCTCCCTGCTTCATTTGGAGCTCGTTTTAAATAAAAATCAGCCTTAGGATCTTACTGCAGGTAAAACAAGAAAACCCATTTTCTTTCAGAATGCCCTTACTCAAATATAATCTGCTATTAATACATATTTCACACTTTTTAACATGCCCTGTGGCTATGAAAAATAAAGGTCAGCACTCATCTTATGGTGTAATTTTCAAACATTTCCTGTGCAATTTTGGTGGGTACAGCCAAACAAAGGAATAAACATATGATATTCCAAGTATTTTTTTAAATTAATGAGTAAGGCTGTTCGATATAGCGATATATATCGGGTGACGATATAAAAACGTCTATCGTTTCATTTTACGCTATTGTTTGTCTCGTGGTGTTGCAAAATAAGCTGTTTACGGCAATATTTTTCACCGTTTTGATGGTCACTGTAGTGGCTGTATTAATTTCTTAAAGTTCTCTCTTTCTCTTATATTTAATATAACCACACTGGGCTACACCGCCCAGTGTGGTTATATTATACTGTTGATGTGGTGAAATTTTCCTGAAGATCTACTACAAGAAGCTCATCACTGCTATTCCACCCTGTGAGTTTTTCTGAATTTTAACTTAAAATGAATATAAGTGTTTTAATAAAAGTTAAATATGAAATGCCTCTCACACTTGCGTCCACTCATATTTTCACTTCCTGCTATTGAATGTAACTCACTGCCTTTATCAAGGCTTTCTCTGACCAAACTAAAATTGATTAATGATAATATTACATGTAAACCTTACATTTACTTTGATAATTTTAATCTAGCTCATCATCTTTGTCATCAAGGTTTTATGTGTAAGGCAAGCTTCACAAGAAGCATTTTACAGCAGTGTAATAATCACCTTCACAATTTACCGTCAGTATAACATATCTTAACTTTTTGTTGAAGGGTCAGGCTAAAAACACTGTTAGCTACGTACTTACATAACATAATGAATATAATAACATAATCAGTATAACCAGGGTTTTATTGACTGTTTGACTTCTTCATGAATTATGGGAATGCATTAGCTGCTTTCACAGATGAATCTGTATTATTAAAGTTTCCATGATATTTTCAGACACCAAAAATGTAATGGGCTCATTAAGCCCCCAGCATCAGAAAACTTGTGATTTTCCTTTCATATGGAGGCAGTGTATCATTTTTGATTATCCCATTCTGGCTTAAATAATAAGGATAAGAGTGACGGATTACTTTTACTAGTTTATTTCCCAAATCAATTAAAAAAAAAAAAAGACTGGAAATGCAACAGAAGAAGAAAAGTTTAATACTACACAAAACCCACAAAATTATATTCAAGATATGAATGTATTATAAGAATTCTAAAACAAAACTCTACAATCAATTTACACTACTAACTACTCACTGCAATACAGTGTGTTTCACTGCAATCCTCAGTGCAGAGTTCATTCAAACTAAACCGGTGTCTTTTATACCTGTTTCTTGATGTTTTACTTACATCTGTAAGTGTGGGGGAGGGGACCTCACTAAAGGTGCCTAGCCTCCCAACAAAATGGCCCTTCATCTTATTATAAGAAAACTAAACAAAGACAGAAAGATGGGGCAGGTCAATTAAAATACCATTATTTACTGGGCAGCCAAACACAGAGTCACCAAAGAAAATAACAATGAAGAATTTGAAGAATATCAAAGAGGAGTACCTCAGTATCTTCCAAACTCCAGGGACTTGTGCCGAACCTCTGATGAAGATGATGGTATGACAGGAGTTCAGACAGCAGTTCTGATAATGAGGATGTGTAATACACCTCTTCCTCCAAACATCTTTTGTGGCATCTAGATGGTATCAGAAGAGGTGTGGATATTATTCGTTAAACAGTTGCTAGCTTTGCCCTTGATTATTTTGATAGTAGCTTTGATTTGCATTTTCTGTTAATCCAGTAGTCTGGATGATAGAAGTTTGGATGATGTCCATCAGCATGAATGTTCTTATCTGCCACGACATCTGCTCCAAACCTAAGTGCTGGCTTCCTCCACCGTACCTGAGTCGTTTGTTGTCCTTCTTTGTTAAATCTGTGAAATGTTGAAGCTACAAATAAACTAGTGCAGCGGTCTCCAACCTTTTTTGCGCCACGGACCGGTTTATGCCCGACAATATTTTCACGGTCGCGGATAAATACAACAAAATAAAACTAGTACCGGTATCGAAAAAAAGAAGATTTATTCATAACACACCTGAAAAGACCCAGGAAAACCGAGTAAACGATAAAAACGATAACAAAATAACGCTGAAAACCGATAAAAACCCAGAAAACCATACATTTCACACCTGAGCCTCAGCTCTCGCGGCCCGGTACCAAACGACTCACGGATCGGTACCGGTCCGAGGCCCGGGGGTTGGGGACCGCTGAACTAGTGCACTTTTTGTTCCATTCCTCTATCTTTGAGTCAAGTGTTGGTGCTGTTTGCGCTTAGTTCTGAAGCTGTCAATAAGAAACTAACATGGTGACTCATTATGGGTCAGTGAACTATTAGTGGTGTTTCAAGGCTTTTGTGTGTATTTGGAGTGTGGGGGGTGGGGGCAATGATTCATAACGTTGTTACATTGTTACAAAACCTGTACAGCTGAAACTGTAGAGAATATTTTTTCCATCAGTTGGACTCTAGTCACAGATACTTTTTGTTTCCCAGTGTCAGGTGGCCTTAACACTTTGTTTATATGACTGTGTAGCATTTGAAATGTATAGCCAGCAGCTTGTGATTTTGATATTTTTTAATGCAATTTGCAAGAAAATACACATCTTTTGATTGTATTGAAGATTTAAGATTGGTTGAGCCTCATTGGATTTTCTGTTTTTTTAATTTTGCTGCAGCTTTCTTGTAATGGTTGCTTTACTACATAGCACTACACCTCTGGTTATAACCAAGGTTTGCAGAAGAGCATGCATGAATGCAAAAAACATTAAACCTTAACGTCACACCAGCTGAAAACTGCACCAGAAATGGACAACAGAAGACTGAAAAATTGTTGCCGTTTTCTCACAGTCTTCACATACTATACAGGTTTAAGGCACCTCTGCATTGTTTTCATTGGTTCTCATGGAAGATAAGTGTCTCAAAGGGTAAATTTGGCTTTGAAAACAGATTACATACTAGCATAAGGCAAAAAACCCAAAAAAACAGGGAGCTTAAGCTGGCCTGATTACCACATTGACCAACAACAATCGGTTGGGAAGTTGTAACTCCAAATGGTGCTTAAAAATAAAAGAAATATTTACCAGAAAGCAGGTGTGACAGGTGAGAAATGGGAACTGGGGAGGCACCGCCACTGGGTGGAGCTTGTGCAAGAGCCAGCAATAGCAATAGAAAGAAGAAGAAGAAGAAGAAGAAGAAGAAGAAGAAGAAGAAGAGGAAGAAGAAGAAGAAGAAGAAGAAGAAGGGGAAAAAAATCTCTCATCTACTGATCGGAAGGTTGGTGGTTCGATCCTTGGCTCCTCCAGTCTGCATGTCAAGTATCCTTGGGCAAGATACTAACCCCAAGTTGCTCTCTGATGCATCCATTGGAGTGCGAATGTACTTAGAAAGCACTATGTATAGAGAAAGTGCTTGTGAGAATGGGTGTGATCGGGTGAATGTGGCATGCTGTATAGAGTGCTTTGAGTACACTGGGAGAGTAGAAAAGCGCTATATAAGAACCAGTCCATTTTTACCATTTAATAACCCCTGTCCATGAACTAAAGCTCTTCAACTACTTGGTGCTCTGTGCTGCAGTTTGGCACAGTATTTAGAAGCTTTTAGTAAACTTAAAAAAACCCCTAATAATAATAATAACAATAATAATAATAATGAAATACAATGACCCAGCCTAGAAGTAATGAATGCATGAGCTAGAGACCTGGTTAAGCTCACTTGGCTGAGCAAGTGACTCACAAAGTCACTTACTGTAAGTGTGCAGGGTTTACACCTCGTGAGTCACTTGCAAAGGCCCTGGTTTAAAATTGCCCTAGGCCAGGGGTCGGCAACCTTTCTGATGACGAGTGCCATTTAGAATTTCCTCAGAAGCCAGTGTGCCATATGATTGCATTAGCAATAAATTTAAAAATGGTCTGTATTAACAGTTACACACTATATAGAACCACTTTATAGAATTATATTTGTTCGCAGATGTTGGCAGCTATCAGCGAATAGTTATCAGCTATTTTGAAACAAAAAAAAAGACACTTTTTATCAATAACAAGAACTACATAACAGCAAATGAACTGTACAACAGAAAATACAAACGCTATTTATGGTCTCCTCACAACAATGATAAGTAAAATAAACTGTGCCAATATGGCATGTTTGTTAATACAGGGATATACGTGTTAATGTGATCTCTGGTCTCCCACTCAGAGACACAGGTCTCCGAGTGTCCAGCATTCAGACGGCTGCCTGAGGACTCATGTGAGAGAAAATCCGCTCACACAGATATGTAGAGCCAAATACTGTCAATAAGGCCTCTGCAATGTTCTGAAGACAGTTAAACTTGTCAGTAGTGATGTCCAGCAGGTGAAAATGCAGCTCCATGAACATGCACACGCTGTGAATTCCAGCTGCTTCAATGTTGCATTAACTGGCATTAACTCAGCCAGTTAATGCGAGACAAATCCAGCTGCTCATTAAAGATTTCTGGTTTGATCAGAAAATAAAACATTGGTCCATACTCCTGAAAGTCCCAAAAAAAAATGCATTGTGTCTCGAGTCTACAGATGTATCCGTGTATTTCCGTGGTGCTGATGCTGTGCTGAGCGAACAGCTCCTGAAGCTTTTGAAGTGTCGGAATGTGGAAATCTAACAA